AAGAAGGAAGGAAGGAAGGAAGGAAGGAAGGAAGGAAGGAAGGAAGGAAGGAAGGAAGGAAGGAGAAATTATCTTTTAGATTTCATAAGACATCTGTATTTCCCCTTTAATTTTTAAGGACACTTTCTCTGGGTTTTAAATTGTAGGTTGCCAGGATTTCATTCCCCTATCCCCCAACCACTGCCCGGAAATATTAAAGATGTTATAATATTTTATTTTCCTCTGACTTCCATGACTTTTGTTTAAAAGACAGTAATTCCTATTTTTATTTATCTTTTGAGAAATACAATGGACTTTTTTCCTTAGGTTACTTTCTCTTTTATTTGAGCAGATTATCTATAAGGTGTCATTGCATCTATAATGTATGGTTTTACATTTGCACTGCCTGAAAAAGTTTCATGAGTTCCTTGACGTTGTGAATTGATATGTTTCATTAATTTGAAGAAATATCCCCTAATATTGTCTCCTGAAATGTTGCTTTTTTCCCATTATCTGCTCTTTCCAATTAGGACTGAAATTACACTTACAGTCATCCCTTGGTGTTAATGTGGGATTGGTTTTAGGCCCACTGCAGATTCCAAAACATGTAGATACTCAGGCTCTTTATATAGAATGATGTTGTATTTGCATTTAATCAACACATATCCTCTCATAAGCTTTGTCATCTCTAGATTACTTGTAATACCTAAGCCAATGTAAAATCTGTATAAATAGATGTTATAATTCGTGGTTTTTTAACTTGTATTTTTTTATTGTTCTGTAATTCCTTTTATTGTGATTATTTTCAATATTTACATTTGAAAGTTGGTTGAATTCCCAGATACAGAACCCATGGTTACAAAGGGCCGACAATATGTTATATTATTTCACTGCATGCCAGGTGTCTCTAATAACTAGCTTTGTTCATTTTCTTATTGTTTCTATATTTACCTGAGTTTGAATATTTTTATGGCTCTAGCTTCAAGTTTATTAACCTTATATTCTATGTTTATTCTACTATTAAACTCAAAATATGATTTCCTAATTTCAAGTACTATAATTTTAAACTGTTTAGATTACCATTTTAATTAGACTCCAATTCTACAGGTATGTTTTATTATTTATTTGCCTTTTCCCTCTATTTCTTTTAACATATGCATAATAGTTAGACTAAAATCGTCTATTAATTTCAGTGTATGATTATTTAGAGTCTTCTATCCACTGTTTCTCTCTCCATTATCTGTCACTTTTTCCTCTTTTTTCATATCTTTTTAATGTTTTTATTGTATATCAGACAACGTGCCCAAAATAATTAGGCTACATGTGGTTTTTTTCCTTTATTCCTCTATGGAACGGATTCCATTACTCCTCTCTTCAGTAGATTAGGTAATCAAATGATTGTCTCAGTTCAACCAAACAATGATCTGTATAGTAGATACAGTTTGGAATTTAGTAAGCCTTAGTCAATTTTGTTTCATCCTGTTCCTTATGCATGATCTTGCAGGCATTTGACTGAAATCTGAAACACTTTAGCTTATTGGAGGGTCCTGTTTTGTTTGCGTGTTATGCTTTTTTTTTTTTTTTTTTTTTTTTTTTGCTATATTCCTTCTTTATCTACCCCTGTAACTTCAAAATCTGGCAAATGCCTTGACCTGGAGACTGCCTATATATTTGAAGCAACCCCCTCCCCACTACTTTAGTGGGATTTTGTCTCCTAAGTGTCAAGATATGGCAAAAGATTTCATTCTGGCTTTTAAACATTTATAAGTCAAACCCCTAACTATCACCACCACCACTGCCAGCAGCCCCCTGCATACGGAAGCCTCTCGACAAATATCTCATCAGGAAAAATGGCCATGTGCTTGAGCTCTTCTAGAGTCTACTCCATCACACCAGCCTCTGTAATGGTCAAAGGCTTCTCTGGCTCTGCTTTACTCAAGAAGAATCCATCTCCTTAGGTTAAGCTCAGTTATCTGCTCATTCTCTGAATTAGCAAATGTCTGTAAGGCATCACGGTGATTGTCAGTTGTTTAGGTTGGAGGCTCTTCCCACTAGGTAATTTCAGTTCTTCTAGTTCTTGTTGATTCTATTTTTTTGATATATAAAACATACTGTTTATCTTACTCTTTTATTTTCTAGAAAATGCAACAAAATCAATGACCTGAAGAAAGCTAGTTAACTTTCAAACTTCTAAGCAGAGGGATAAATTCTGATGCTTTTTTCTCTCCTCCTTTCCCTTAAGATTACCATTATTTATTAAGTGATAATTGTGTTCCAAGAACCGTGCTAAATGCATTAGTAAAGATGTCTCCTGAGAAATACAATAATTATCCCTATATTTCCTATTTACATTTAGAGTAACACAGACTTAAGGAGGTTTACACAGCTATCAAGTAATGGCACTTGAATTTTGTCAGTGAAGGTATTACTCCAAAAGGCATAGTTTCTACCGTCATGTTACATAATGGCTCTCTTTCTTTCCATCTATCTTAGATAAATTTGTATATATATATATAATAAATATACAAATATATATTTATGTATTTATACCCACAATGAGGTGCTCAGACTACCCACATTTTTGCCCAACTGACTACAAATTCAAGCATTCCCTCTACCCTGTTTTTATGTTTTTATATATCTATATCCATCTATCTATATGTATATATTTATTTATAGCGACATATGCATATCACTATTTGCCACCAAATACTAATACTTGTCTTTTTCCACACCAATTCTCCAATTTTCCAACACCAACTGAGTATTCAACAGTTTAACGCAGTTCTGACTCCCAGAGTTATTGAAGACCCCACAGGTCAAGGGCTCAATCCTACACAACTACCTGCATTTCAGATGCTAGCCACAATGGGGTACTCAGATTACCCATGCTTCTGCCTGACTGATTACAAATTCAGGGGTTCTCACTAACCTATTCGTATGTTCAATAATTTTCTAGACAGAAATCAGAAAAATATTTTATGTACCATTACCAGTTTATTATAAAGGAAACCATGCAGGAAGAGACCAAGGAAAGAGATGCAAGGGTCAAAGCCGAGGGTGAAGATGGGTGCAGAGCTTTCACACCTTCTCTGCATACAAGACGATGTGTTCACCAACCTAGAAGCTCCCTGCATCTTGTTAGAGGGTCACATAAGCATGACTGTTTAAACCCTTGGGCTGTCAGCGATTGAACTCAATCTCCAGTTCCTTTACCCTTCTAGGAAAACAGGCATGGAACTAAAACTTCCAACCCTCTCATCATGACATATCTGGCAGTTGGCCCCCAGTGTGAAGCTGTGTAAGGCTTCACCTTGGAATGCTACCCAGGAATCACAGGGTATTAGGCGCTCTTTGCAGGAAACCAGGGACAAAAGGCAATTTTTTTTTATTCTACATTATTTTTTCCCAAGGAGTGATCAGCATATAGGTTGGCCGTCAGAAGAGGAAATTTATGTTCCAGCTTTTCTACTTTAACGTGTGTCCTTAGATCCAACACTTAACTGTCCTGAATCTCACTTTCTTCATCTATAAATAGTAAGAATAACACTTCATTGAGTAGCTCTACAACAGAAGTTACTCAGATAGAACGAATTTTTAAACTATAAATATCTATAAATATTTTAATTATCATTTCTATTAACAGATGTTCATATTCATATCCTGAGGAGCTTTTGGCTTTTCTTATCTTGCTTGGAGTTAAGTCCATCCCATTCCTAATTGTAGTTAAACCAAACTATCAAGCTGTTACTCAATTGTGCAGGATAGCCAGCTAATCCCATTATTGAACTTGGAACATTATGTTGAATTATATACTTCAAATGTCAAGGAAACGTCCTTACATTAGCCACCAGCAATAATAGGATTTTAACCTTAGCTTCCCAAAGACATTGAAATTAATTGCAATGTTAAGTTTCCTGAAACTACTAACATTAGAAAATTGAGCTGCCAGTTGTTAAAACAATAGTAAGATGGAGGGGAATAAGTTAGAACAGTTTTTAAAACAAAGACAGATATTATGTTGAAAATCATTCAAGTGTGCATAATATTGAAGTAATATATTCAGGCTCTATTTGGCCAAAATTTATATATTGAAAAAGCATGAAATATGATTACTTTCTTTTAAACATCACCAAATACTAAGAATGGATTTTCATCGAGATGGACTCTGATGCACTGCAGCCACCAGACTTAAATTCTACATCATCAGGCAGTTTAAATTATATTTTGTGTGATTATAATATGATGTTTATTTGTGGAATATAACTAAGTGCTCTGTGAAGATCACTGGAACTTGGGAAAGGAGGGAAGGGAAGAAATAAAATAATGGGAAATTGAGGAAAGGGAGAGAAAAGGGAGAGTGAAAAGAGAGAGACGCCCTTTTATTTACATTTTATGTCTTAACTTTTCAAAGTATTTTCCCACAACCAAAGTGCTGAAAACATATAACCAAAAATTAACCATTGAAATTTTTAAGAGTAACATTGACTAATATGAGATTTTATGTTATTCTACTCAATTTTGAAATAGATAACTACTTGATTTCTTGTGACTTTGAAGGATTTTCCTCCCCCTTGTATTTAAAATCAACTTAACTTTTGAGAAAATGATATGTTTTCTCTTTTAAAGTTAATCACAGTGAATCTCAGAAGCTCAGAAGACTTATCTAAGTTAACTGAGCTGATCATTTCCATACATTTCAAGATTCCAGTGCTTATTCTCCATGTTTCTGTTCTTTTTATGACCTTACAATACCCATCTTCTAAACTATGCTTACGCACACGTGCACACACATGGATAGACGATATATGTTGGGGAACCACACATACACACACACACAATGCAGAGAAAAAGTCCTAAGAAAGTAGCATACCAAAAAAATTTTTTACAAAGTATTTTATAGCTCTTTAATTTTCAATAAGCTGGAATTACTATCCATTTATTCTGTGGATTGCTATGCTTTTCCAGATTGTTCAGGTTATTCTGACAAAACCATAGTCTATGTTGTCCATTTTCTGGTATTTTGGGTAATCTATTTTCTAAACTATCATAGGCTAATGAAAAGGTAAAGTGGGCTTTTCCTCAAAAAGGTAAAATGTATATGATATGTGATATAGCACTTTATGAGTGACACTTGTGCCACTTAGTTTGAATAATCTCTTCCAGTTTTAGTCTTTGGCATTTTAAGGACATGGAGGAATATCAAACATATTGTCAGTGTAAAACGCAGATATGCATAGAAGTAAGTCTTACGTTTTGACACGTTTTTAATTCACCAGATGTTCATGAAACACACACAAATTACACAGTCAGACTAAGGAATGCATTACACATCTGGATCTTGATTAGTGTTCATAGTTAGACTTCAGGTGGATTATACCAGATACTAGCTTTTTGACTGATATAAATCAACTTGATTAAAATGTACCAGTAACAAGAAACATAAGTACTTTCAAAGAAAATGCATTTTGTAATAAAAAGCACTTAAAAATAATTTAATTAAACTATTTGAAGATATGGACAGTATTATGAAGCAAAATACAAAACAAAACAAAAAACAAGACTACGGTAATACACTTTGAAAATAATTGTCTGTAATTGTGTGCTTTTCCCCTCAGATGGTAAATTATCTAGCTTTAAGTTGTTCTTTCCATTTTATTCCTTTTTGTGATTTGTTTTTAACATGTTACCAATAAATACTAAACAAGAATAAGAATTATATTATAAATCTCATATTTAGTATAGTTTAGGAAGTAAATGAGTATATGCAAACTACGAGAGTATATATCTAATTTCTCTATAAATTATTTTAAAGTTTAGATTTTTAAATATTTTTAAATTTAAGAAAGTTAAGATTTTCAAAATTTCTACAAGTTGTTCCTATGAGCTTGGTAATAGTTTTGACCTATTGACCCTGTCTGCCAAATGGAAGGAACCTTTTATGTGCTAGGGGTTGTACTGAATGCTAAAGATATAATCATGAAGCAAAGCTGAACTGGCCACGTCATGAACTTACCTCCTAGTAAGGAATTATGTAACATTTCTAGACTTCCTACAAAAATCGTTTAAAAATTAAGCAAATTGGAGGCAATAATATTGTAGCATATTATCTTTGTGATCTAGGCTAGTTTTCAAATTATTCATAAAAATCAAGATTTCAAATATCACCTTCAAGCTAGAAATTACTAACTCATGCTGGATTTGGTCAATCTACATTGAGTTAATAAAAAGGAAAAAAATTAAGTGGGATTCTACTAAATAAAGAATCACAACACCTTTTAAGCTCATGGTCATAGACACTTTCATAACCTTTTCTCTATTGTTATAAAAATTTCAGAAATATTGGTCATGTAAATAGCTTTATACCTGAGTTATTTAGGTTTTGCTTTTATTTATTTATTTATTTATTTTGGCATTCAAAAATTATTTATTGAGCTGCTGGGAAGTGCCAGGCACTCTTCCAGGTAACGAGGGTACCTAGAATGGGCTTACAGCAGTGATCTAAACAAAGCCCCTCCCCCTAGGGACGTTGCTTTTCGTGGGATGCAATAGACTGCATTTTCCAAAATGGACCATAATATTTCTGGCCCTAACTGTTCCTGCAGAGTTTTGTCATGCCTGCCCTGGCACCTCTAACTTTTTCCTCTTCTGCTTGAAACACGCAAGACTTGGTTACTCAGTGAATAAAATTCCACAGGAGTTATGTGCCACATGAGCTACAAGTCAATGTCATAAAAGACAAAACAGCTTCCGTCTTTCTCCAGTGGTTTTGGAATTCTGAATCTTTATATACTATTCCTCGATACTCTACAACTGACAAACTGGGGAGAGAACATGGAGATATATAGAGAGATGCCTGAAGAGTCTTCTTAACTCAGGTGTGGGAAATGCAAGGAGGTGAGCATTCGAATGACTTGAACCCCAGTCACTTCATGGCTGCATAACTGCATGCAGAACCCTGATGAGGACCTGATAGCCAAGTCCAGTCAGCTACCAGATTCATGGGCAAAATAAAGTATTCTTACCGTTTTAGGCTATTGTTTCAGAGTGGCATGTTACGCAGTGGACTGAAACAAATAGAGAAAATAAACAAGTAAAATGAAGAATACAGACTATGCCACAATGGCAAAGGATGGAGCCGTGGAGGCGTAAGAGGCACGACCGCGGAGAGGTCTGGAGCGCGGCGGGGGGACCGGGGCGGCAGCGGCGGCGGCTGGGGGCGGCCGTGGCAGAGCAGTGCGGCTCGGTGGAGTGCCCCTTTCAGGAGGTTTCCAAATACGAGAAGCTTACCGAGATCGGCCAAGGCATCTTCGCGGAGGCGTTTAAGGCCGAGCACCACAAGACCGGCCAGAAGGAGGCCCTGAAGAAGGTGCGGGTGGAAAGTGAGAGGCAGGGGTTCCCCAGGACAGCCTTGCGGGAGATCAAGATCCCCCAGCTTCCAAAACACGAGGATGTGGTCAGCATGATTGAGATCCCCCATCACCGCTGCAAGGAGAGCATGCCCCTGGTGTTGGACTGTATATGCCTTGGTGCATGACCTTGCTGGGCTGCGGAGCAATGCTTTGGACAAGTTCACGCTTTCTGAGATCGAGGGTGATGCAGATGCTGCTTAACGGCCTCCACTGCATCCACAGGAGCAAGATCCTGCGTGGGGACATGGCTGCTAACGTGCTCAACACCCGTGACGGGGCCCTGAAGCTGGCCGACTTCAGCCCGGCCGAGAAGAGCCAGCCCACCGCTCCGGCAGCCGTGCGGGACGCTCCGGCACCGGCCCCGGGGGCTGCTGCTGGGGAGCGGGACTGCGGCCTCCCCATTGACCTGTGGGTGCTGGGTGCACCGCGGCAGATGTGGACCCGCAGCCCATCACGCACTGCAGCACGGAGCAGCACCAGCTCGCCCTCATCAGCCAGCTCTGCGGCTCCATCGCTCCTCAGGTGTGGCCACACGTGGACAGTATGAGCTGTGGGACAAGCTGGAGGCGGTCACGGGCCAGAAGCGGGAGGTGGAGGACAGGCCGAAGGCTGGACCTCATCCACAAGCTGCTGGTGCTGGACCCTGCCTAGCGCACCCAGCACGACTTCTTCTGCTCTGACCCCATGCCCTCCGGCCTCAAGGGCACGCTCTCCACCCACCTGAGTCCACGTTTGAGTCCCTGGCACGGCCGCGCTGAATGGGCAGCCAGATCACCCAGCAGTCCGCCAACCAGAGCCGCAATACCGTCACCACCAACCAGACGGAGTTCGAGCGCGTCTTCTGAGGTTTGGCGCTTGCCACTAGGGCTGTTGTATTTTTTCTTCTGCTTTGTAACTTGCATCATGGAGACGATGGGGCGTTTGAGTTTCTATCTCTCATGCGTATTTTATTTAATCCCCACCCTGGGCTCTGGGAGCAGCCCGCTGAGTGGACTGGAGTGCAGCATTGGCTGAGAGGCCTGGAGGGCACCAGGACTCTCGGTCTTGCTCCCTGGCTTTCTGGAAGGTGCACAGAGGGTCTCCAAGAGGTGGGAGGAGGGACTTGCCCACCAGTGACTTTTTCTAAGAGCTCCCAGCGTGATGGAAGAGGGGGCAGGTCCCTCACCCATCCACAGTCCTGTTCTGGGGCTGAGAACCCCGCGTGGGGACAGGGCTGGCCTCAGGAGTGCGTTGTTTTTGGCCTCACTCTCAAAAGCACTGGGGCCGGCACAAACTCCTGGTTTCTTCAACAGGAGAATTTTATCATATTTCTTTTGGTTCCGTTGTTCGGAGACATTCCTGGACACGGTTTGGTCAGTTAGAATTAAAAGTTGAGTTTTTGTTTTCCAGAAAAAAAAAAAAAAAAAAAGCAGATGGAGACCATCCAGGACAACATGGTGAAACCCCATAGTTACTAAAAATACAAAAATTAGCTGGGCGTGGTGGCGTGTGCCTGTAATCCTAGCTACTCGGGAGACTGAAGCAGGAGAATCACTTGAACCCAGGAGGCGGAGGTTGCACTGAGCCAAGATCGCGCCATTACACTCCAGCCTGGCGACAGAGAGAGACTTCATCTCAAAAAAAAAAAAAAAAAAAAAA